TGAAACTCAATCTTCTAGAATGTCGGAATGGGCTGAATCCACCGGTGGCATTGATGATATTACGTAAATAGCATTCATTCCTTTATTTGATTGAATCCCAGCCATATGAGTCTTGTTTCAATTGAAAAGGTATATGTTATCCGTATTTGCTCCTGAAGAGCCGTTAAGGCAAATGTCTTACGGCAAAATATCGGATGTTTAGCAGTGAGGATGACAGTGTTCCATGTAAGTGAAATTTGTTACTCTTTCATTAGTATATTGTGTAGGAATCCTGTGAATGATATCTGTTTGAATTTGTCTGTTTTAAATCTGTTTTTCCGTTAATCAACTGTTGCACCCCTACGAATGACAACCCTCAGAAGTAGAAACTTGTGCGAGGTAAGGATTAACGAGGTCTTACCTTTTAACGTGTGATACCTAACACGGGTTGGACGATAGCAAGTGAAAATCGATCGTTCAGACTAGGGTTGAACCACCGACCAACACGGCAGTCAATTCGAGTGAGTGAACAAAGCACCCACGTCGAACTGCCTGGCTACCGACCGACTCCGACTCCATTACTAATGTTTGGAAAATTTGTTCGAGGATCCAAAAACCATTTTCTTACACGAATTTTTTCGAAGTGCAACTGTTTGAAACTTGAGTTAAAATTCCTAAAACTTGGTTTCTGATGGTTTACGTTGATTTTTGTTAATATTTTTATACTTGCTTATGATTTATGTATTTGGTCACATTATAACAAAATTATATTGTTTTCATTAACAATTAATTATTTGGTAAGGTTGAAGAAAGGTTCAAGTAATGCACCCGGTAATGCAGATGTGTTTAAAGTGAAACTTGTTTGTTGAAGGTGTCTCAATCATATAAAATGCCCACATCTCACACAGAGGAATATTCGACAAAACTTCACCAATTCGATTGAAGAATGAATATCATAACAGCGACAAATGACGACCAAGATAAACATAAGTCGTCTCTAGTTCACAACGTCAACACCAGATGGAGTATTGCTTATTTTGAATTCCCTATAACATAAGAATGGATATTGAAATATTCCTTTTCAAAACGATTTGAAAATAACATTTATCCTTCGCATGAATACGCCTCACTACTCGACTACATTTTATCCATGCCATTGTAAGTGGCACTTAATTAAGAAGCAATCGAGTTTTTCCTAATTACGTAACGCGCAGAAAACGTTCTTGTACGTACGGTATTTCTTTTCATGCAAAGGTCAATTCCTGATCGCGTTCAATTCCTTCTGAATGTAAATGTACTTTAAAAGCCAAGGTTATGATCGCTAAACTTCGATTAATAAGTTATATTATTCGTTAAGAGTTACGCTCGCTTGGCGCAACTGTAAAAAATACGAGTATGTATTTAATCTGTGGTATTGTAATGAACGGGGATAGATTTGCTTTCGCGTTTGTCGATATTTGATAAGCGGATTGACAACAGCTTCAGGAAGTGATATAATTATTAAATGATGATTATAATTATGTAATTAATGATCGTATGGGTTGAGTAAAAGTCTCGACTTGTGTCAAACTAGCAGAACCACTTTTTTTATCCCCATTTTTGGATCATAATTTTTTATTAAATTTGTACTTTGCTTCCGAATTTTTGTATCTTCATTTAACGGATATATTGTGAGTTCGCTAGCTTCTAGATCGATGTTGAGCTAGCTGAACCCAACCAAAAATATTGATAAAATTTATCCAATACTACATCGATTATCAAGAAAATGACAAGCAGTGAAAAAATTATTATCCTGCAGAAGAACATATACGTGCGTAGGCGGGAAGGAATTGTCATTTGGGATGAAAAACAATAATAATTACAATCAATCTTACAAAGTGATTGTACACACAACAATTGTTAACAACAATTATACTTAGTTCTCTTGTAACCATACGTTCATTAGATGGTATGATTTTTGTCAAAGCCATTCCATGCATAAGTTGTTATTCTTTCAACTTTTCTGGAATGATAACTTGCGTTCGAGGTTCCGTTATCCATCACAATTACAGAATCAAATGGAATGAGGTCTAACATTTGCTCAAAATATTCTGCAAATACATTGTCATTCATGTTTTCATGATGATCGCAAGAATGCTCCTACTAAAACATCAATAAACCGTCCCAAACAAAGCCATCAAAACTTTCAATGTGGGTAATACTCAGTTGTATTCCTTTTCAAAATGCGACTTTATTCCGGCAGACCAGCCTTCTAAAAATGCGTGACTTGAACTTGTATTGTTTTTGTCTTGCTACATCTTTTTAACGGTATATCCTATTATCTGCCTTATCAGCAAGTAATTTCATCAATTTTGATCCAGAGCGACTTTCTGATTTGTTTTTACCAGCTGAAATTTCATTCCTTTGAAGTTTTCTACAATTTCTTCCTCTTTATCATTGGAGTCGTATAAACTCAGGTCTTCTCACAAGCCTCCTATTATTTCTTCGAGAATGGATATTACTTTCTTGGAATAAAATAGTCATTTGATTGCAGTTTTTCTTCCTGAACATTGTTTTGACGATTTCACAACTTCATTTTTTCTCTCAATCATGAATTCATTTATCGTCGACTTTATATATCAAAACATAAAAAAAAATGCTTCCCTCCTCGAAAATAGGTTCAATATATCCCATTGTTATGGTACTATCGTTACAGTCAAGCTGTGCAAAGAGTTATACAAAAAGATGTTCAATTTAAAAACAAAAAGTTTGTAAAATGCAATTTGGAGAACTTCTCAACAGTCCATCTATGAACTCTCTCATCTATTACAACCGCACCTGTGATTCCGTGCCTCACCCTGTTGAATCTCTTCGGATTTTTTCAGGCATGAAAACCGTATACCGTAACTACGAACAAAAGACGAATACGCCAGATATGCAAATGCGAAACAAGTGTGCTATGTGCTGCTAGACTACATGAAGGCCCACACGATGACATTGTAGTATCCAAACGGAGAAGGCCGTATCGTTTTCCATATGAATTTCGTCAGCGATAAATACACTTACGTGTAATGGCGATCGACAGTTGTTTTGTTTGTTCATTTGTCCAAGTTGAGATAAAGGATGGTTTGTGGTTGACGGGATTCTCTTGTTTATAAGTGCGGTTTCGCGGTAGTTCTATTACGGATCTGTCACTTGAGTACCGATGGGCGAATGCAATAATTTTGACAAATGCTTTATCACAATTTCAGAAAGAATATTGGAAACAGATCAAAATCTTTTCTATAACTTCAATGTACTGACGATGCCGCTGGAGATGTCCTCATGAATCATGTCATTTTTGTGGACGAAATCAGAGTTTATTTGGCCTTTTTTAGGAATTCTCTCCCTACACAGTCTGAATAATATTAAAAAATTGTAGTAAAGAACTTTCTACTAGTGTGGAAAGGCAAATTTCTAGTTCAAACCGATTTATTCATTCAATTCAATATATGTTTCCATTATAGTTGGATATTATTTGATCAGCAAGATTCAAATCAAGCATACAGCAAAACTTTATCAATGTCTATGTAATAGCTATAAAAAACGAAAAAAATGTCTGCAAGTAGTACTTATTGATTTTTTCGAGTGAAACTATTTTGGCTGTCAATTTTACGACACTATTTTTACCGGAAAAATCAAAACGTATTTTTGTTTTGTAAGTTTACACTCATGGTTTCGAGAATCCGTACAGTTAACCGAAATATGTGAAAATTTATGATAACTCCTCTATGCGTCTCTAATTTTTGAAATAACCCACAGATTTTTGTAAAATTTAGGCTTTATCACATGCTCATTCAATTCAGTTTCATCAGTTATATCTGCCAAGTTTATATGTCCACAATCATTAATATTATATATTTAGATTTTTTACCGTCATTTAAACTTCTCACGATGCCACAGGTCGCAAATATGATTCAATTGTCAAGACTTCCTTTTTCGTTTACTTCAGTTTTACTTTTTCGTTTCAAAAATATCAATATTTTAAAAAACCATGATAGCTCCTCTAGGCGTCTCTAATTTTTGAAATAAGCCACAGATTTTCCCTAGGCCCTAAAACTGAGCTTTGGAGCACACCGCATTTAATAGCTCCAAGCTGTGAATAATGGTCAGCTTACTGGTTACGACCAAGTATACGACCTTAACCACCGCAAACTAATTTTCCTGAAACCATTAAATTCAAGTTTGTCCAACGGAGTTCTGTATTTTATGTAATCGCAGGCTGGCGCTCCTTCGTTACTAAATTCGAATATTATTTATTATTGAGGATTATTTTCCATAATTTGTAAAAAAGATGAGAAAGTTGAAGACTAGCCAACTCTAATAGTGAAAACATTCAATTGATGAGCGGTGAAAAAATTATTGAAGTGGCATGGTGTGAGCCTAAATTCTTAGATTTATTGCAAGTTCATAATTTCCAAATATGGAAAGATTTCGATTTGATTCAGACAGCCTAACGGTAAGGCTGGTAGAACCCATCGATTTTTGAGAAAAAAACAACACATGGAAAATCGGTGAAAGGAGCTTGAAATGAGATTAATTTGTGGTGTTCCTAGTCTGATATAGCGAAATATTTTTTTTTCGGTGGTTCCGTTAAATGAATAGCAAAAATTGGGAAGTTCAAAATTAGCCTAAAATTATCCTGAAATTATGGTCTTAAAATAAATCTACTGTGGTTTGGTTAGCTTAACAGAGGTCTAAACTTTTGGAAAAAGAGGAAACAGAACCCAACCTGAGATTAATTCCTTCTGAAATATTACTAACACGACATAATATGTATAAACTCCATCTTTGAAAATTAATTATTTTGACAAAATGTACGATTACATACAATCCTAATAATTCAAATCAAACAAGCTCTTTACCGATCCAAAAAATAAATCTATTTGGGAATTAATATTTCATATTGAAATCTAATCTATTTGAAAATTTTGTTCATGAAAATGAGTATTGGATTGATGTGTCAAGTGACCGCGCTATGAAAAATTCTTGTCAAAACTCACCATCCTTTTTCTGCACAATAAGCGACAAAGGCTGAGACTCCCCGATCCCCAACTCATTCTTCCCGTTACCACCGTTCTGAATTTCGAGTCTCAACTGTTGCTGATGCAACCTGTTTTTGATCAAAAATATTTTCGGCATCTTGCCCGAGTCACTTCAGTGTCATCAAAAACCAAAAAAAAATCTACACCAACCACTGAATCGTCACAGAGTTCACATCACAACACAAGAAAATCCTTCGTCCTTGCGCGAGATATCCTTCGAGGTTCTTTATGCAGGATAAACAGTTAAAAAAATCCGTCCGTGTCAATCAGACTGAAGTCCTTGTTAAGACTGATGACCGCTTGTAGTTCCAACGATGCGAACCGTTGTGTGGCCCCCCTTCCCCCCCAAAACCTCTCGTCGATCGTGGTGAACCTGTAGAGGTTACCTATTCCAACTATCATGGCATTGGCGCAAGGATAACGGTGGTGGGGAGATAAGTCTGAGTACTCAGGTACTTGGCGGTACGTGTGTGGCTTTTGGGTAGAGGTTTTACGCGTTTTGCCGCTGGGTTTTGAGTACCGGAATTCTATAAGATGTATTGTTGAATGTGATTAGACACGAGGGAAAATTGTTGGTCGTGTTTTGTTACACATTTATGTGCTTACCACAATGGCAAAGAAGTAATTT